GGGCCCTCTTGGGCGCAGATTGGGCCATCCTGGAGCGATCTCGGGGGCCTCTTCGGCCGTTTCTCGCGCTCTGGAAACCGAGAAGCCGATCATGCAAAAATGGCACCACAACCCCAGGAAAACCTACACTTGTTGCTTTCCCATGGCCTCTTGGGGTCGTCTTCGGGCCCCCGTGGACCATCTTGGGAGCCCGATGGGCCGTCGAGTAGCCATTTGAGCCCGTCTTGGGCCATCTTGGGCACAGCGCGGCCATCTTGTGGGGCTCATCGGGCTCTCCTGAGGCCTCCTGGGTCCCTCTCGGGCCGTCTTGACGCCTCCTGGGGCTGTCTTGGGCCCTTCAGGGGGGCTCGCGAATCAGCCTCCCCAGTCTCACCCGAAGTTGTGCCAGATCAGGCTTGCATGGATAAAGGAACAGGTTGTAGCAATACAGAATGCATTGTCGCTTCGCGCCATGCACCTCGGTCCTTCAATTTTGGCATATAGACGGAAGGGCAGGAAGGTATAACATATACTGTCGTCGTGCTGTATGTATATATATACACATTAAAACCACGAACGCGCGCTTCGCGCGCTTAGGTTCTAGTAAGCTACAGATGTAGTCTAATGTGTTGGGCATCGGATGACATACATTGTCACGCGGATCGTGCCCCTCAAGGAGCTCCACCTGCGGCCCTAGAGACAAGCTTGGCTTAGCGTCCCCCCGCCAATGTCGGCACACCCCTCAGAGGGATCGCGCCCCACAGGCCAGAGACAAGGTTCGCATAGTGGCACGCCCCTCACGCAGATCTTGCCCCGCAAGTAACTGCATCTGCGGCACCAGAGGGAAACTTCAGGGGGTCGCCCCGCTCACTTCGGCACGCCTCTCACCCGGATCGTGGCCCGCGAGGAGTTTCACGGACGATCCAAGAGACAAGATTCACATCTCACCCTCCCGCCTACTTCGGCATACCTCCAGGAGGGCCCAGAATCGAATCGATAAGTCGGATCGGCCATCGAAATGAATCGGATCGGCGTAAATCGGCAGCCACGCCGGGATAAGTCGAATCGGCAGAAATCGGCAAGCTGATAGGCCTACGCTGAGAGATCGACATCCGAATCGGAATCCCAAGCCCAATCGACTCGGAATCGGCAGCCATCGAAGTCGAATCGCATCGAATCGGGGAGAATCGAAGCGAGTCCTGTACTTCGGCATACCTCTCACACGGATCGTGGCCCACAAAGATCCCCGCCTGCTGCCCCAGAGGCAGGGTTCACACCGCGCCGCACCCGGCGGCACCTGCGGCACACGCATGACGCGCCTCGTGCCCACAAGGAGCACCACCTGAAGGCCCAGCGACAAGGTTCGCACAGCGCCCCCCCGCCCATGTCGGCACACTTGTCACACGAAGCATGCCCCGAAAGGAGCTCCACCGACGGCACCAGTGGGCAGCGTTGCATGGCGTCCCCCCGCCCACTTCGGAACGCGCCTCGCACGGGTCTTGCCCAGAGGAAGTCCACTTGTGGCCTCAGTGGGCGTGCTCGCGCGGCCCTGCACGCGGATCGTGCCCCACATGGAGTTCGTCGCACCCGCGAACGCGTGCACCGCAGCAGCCATCGTTCCGCATTCCCCCTCTGTGCGCAGTGGAGGAAGACAGACCCGCGCCCTGCACTTCATATATGACTGCATAGGGATGGTTCCGTCGCCGAACAAATTCCTTTCTTATTTATGACCTTCGGCACATACCGCTTCAAGTGCTGTGTCCGAGTTTGGGGGCCAGGAGATTCTTGGGCGCCTGTAATTCAAGTGCGGTATTTTGGCGTGCTTTCTCGGGCGCCTCGTGGAACGAGTTCTGAAGCTTCTAACTAGCCTCGTGTGGGCCCTCTTGGGGCCTCTTCTGGGGCCCTTGGGGGCCCCTTGGGTCGCTGATGCGGCCTCGGGGGCGCACTTGTGCAGGAGGGCGCGACATGTCAGATGGACTTCCCCCTCTTGGACTCCTCTTGGGGCCCTCGTGTGCCGTCGTGGGCGCCTCCTGACCGTCTTGAAGCTTTCTTGGGTCGTCCTGGGACCCTCTTGAAGGCCTCCTGGGATGTCTTGGGGCGATCTGCGGGGCCTCTAGGGCCGTGTTGGACGCTGACGAAGACCCAAAATGCGAATATGCAAAAAAAAAAAATGTTTCCCCGGGGGGATGATGCAATTTTGGCATCCTGTGGCCCTCTCGGTGCGAATCTTGGTGCCTTCTTAGGACCTCTTCGCGGCCTCTTGAGCAGTCTTGCAACCATCTTCGTGCGTCGTCGGCCCTGTTAGGCCGCTCTGGTCGCTTTCTGGTGGCCACCGGAGCAATTTTCAGCGGCGGGGGGAGGCCCGGGACGCCGGGGAAAGGTCAAAATGTCGTGAGCCAAAACTGGGCGGTAAATCCAGGAGAGTGTCCTGGCCTGGGCGCCAGACACCTGGTACCCCTGCATACATGCATGCATGCATACATACATACACACATACATATATGTCTATATATATATATATATATATGTATATATACACACTACAACAACACGCGCGCTACGCGCCCACTTAGGTTCTGCTCGTCTGCGAAGACGCTGTGAGGGCGCATCGTGTGAAGCCCAGGGTGCCAGGGGAGAAGGCCCCGCGCGCGCTTCACCTTTCTCTCAAGGTGTGCGAGGTCTTCGGGGGGGCCTCAAGGTTCAGGGCGGTCGCGGGGCTGTCTGAGAACCGCAACTTCGACGAAAGATGGAGGGAAAGGCGCGATAATTGGGGCGAGACGGGCTCTTGAACGCATGCTCGGATCTCTGGTGGCTTCATGGGGTTGTCTGAAGGTTGGTGGGGCCTCTGGGTAGATTTTCGGATGCGACTTGGAATCCCCTGGAGGCCTCTTGGGGGCGACATGGAGACCCCAGAAGCCCATCGACGGCGAAAGAAGCTGGAAGTCAAAACATATCGTGTTGCGTACGTCGGCCTCTGGGGGCGCCGGAGATGCCTCTTGGGAGCCTCTTGGAGCCTCCAGTGGGCATTCGTTGGTCTCTTGGGCAGTCTTGGGGGCTATGTTGGGCTATCTGAGGCTGCCTGGGGCCATCTGGGGCCATCTTGGCGGCTTCGAGGTTCTCCTGGAGGCTGTCCAGGAGTCCCCTTGGGGCTGTTCAGACTATCGAAGCGAAGCCGTGGTTCCTGTCCGAAGCCGCCCCCCCGCCTACTTGATAGATGCATGCATACATATGTCCATGAAAACGCGCAGTTACGTACATGCATCCGTGCATACACACACACATGCAGTCATACACATATTCATACCACACTATACATACAAACTGACATAAGCATATACATACATTCATGGATCATATGCAACTATGCATGAACCTCCCGTCCCTGCTCCTAAATCCTCCTCCTGCCTCCCGCCTTCTTTCGAAGCCTTTTTGCGGTCTCCGGAAGACCCCAAAGAGCCCTGGAGGCTTCCCAGAGACCCCAGAAGCTTCCTGGAGACCCTCAGGATCCAGAAAGGCAGAAGGGGCCAGAAGACACTTAACTCGAAGGACGGCTGCAGCCAAGTGAGTCAGAAGCCTGGCCTAATCACGAAGATCTGCGGGGAATCTTGGGAACCCTCTGTGGTTCCCTTGCAAACTAGTTTGAAGCCTCTTTGGGCCCTGTTCGGGCCTGTTTTGGCGCCTGTTGGGGCCTCTGTACGGGGCTGTTTGGGGGCCTCTTGGTGCCTCTGGGGCCCTCTTGGGGCACGCTGGCAGTCTGACGGGCTCTCTCAGGCAATCCGGAAAGCCCCTTGGGGCCTTCTTGTAGCGTCGTGGGCGTCTCTTGTGCCGTCTTGGGGCTCGCTGGGGCCGTCTTGGGACTCTCTTGTGGGCCTCTTGGGCCGTATTAGGGCGGTTTGGGGGACCGTTTGGGCCGTCGATGACGCTGTGGAAGCCCGACAATCGTATACGCTGTAAATGAACGCTTGCCCTAGGGGAGTGGAGCGATGTTGGCTTCTTGGGGCCCTCTGGGGGGGGGCATCATGGAGCCCTCTTTTGGCGTCTTGGGGGCTCTTGACTCTTCTTGAGGCCATCTTGGCGCATCTTGGAACGCTCGCGGGGCGTCTGGTGAGACGCCTCCCCCCGGCCCCCCCCTGTGGAGAACCTGACACTGTTCGAACCCTCTAGCGAAACGCTGTTAGAGAAAAAACGACACCGCTCGGACGGTAGGGATAACATGTTCCTGTGGAGCTGATGTTTGTAAATGATAGTTGTAGACAAGGGGGCGGAATTTGGGTGACCCACAAGGGGGTGGTGCAACAGATTTTGGCAATTATGTTGCAAATGGATTGCACCGGAGAGTTGTATTGCATTGATTTGCAAGTCATGTGCTGCACGCGAAAGTCCAGCAATAGATCTGCGCCCTGGAATGTATTGCACGCCCCAAATGTATTGCAACCCCACAAAAATCTATTGCACCAAATCTATTGCACCACCCCCTTGTCGCTGGAGCCCCGTTTGGGTCGACCCGAGCGGAGGGGGGTCCTTCCCCCTCAACCCCACTTCGACCCGTTCCTCCCCCGTGCCCCGGCTTCCCTCCCCCTTTTATCAAAGATGGGGTCCAGGATCCAAGTCGCAACGTGTCGTAATGCTGCGTCTGTTTCGCAACGTCGGATCTCACGGAAACGGGAGGATGAGCAGGCGGAGGAACATGAGGAGGGAGCACGAGCAAGAGGATGCGGACAACGAGAGAACCTAGGGCAACTATTTTCGCGCTTCGCGCTCTGCGGAGCGCGATGGTCTTCGCGCGTTCGCGCCGCCCCCTCCCCCCCCCCCCCGGAACAGGGTGACGGACTCGCACCTCGCTGTGAAAACGCCCAGACCGCGACGCGCGAATCGCGGCAAATTTCGCACCCTCATGGTGGCCCTTGGAGACGGTAGGGTCAGGAGGACTAGGTGTGGCAAGTGTAATTACCTAGCCCATGAGCGAAGAGGCGAGATGTTGTGCTGGGGTGGTGTCCATCTCGACACAGTGCCCCTCCCGCCGAGCGGGCCTCCTCCTTGGTCACCTCCTCCAGCTTGGGCTTGGCGACAGCAGCCTGGAGGAGGGAGCAGAAATGGATTACGGCAGCTGCGGCAACTATGAGGGGCAACGATCGGGGGGGACTGGCATTCACGGGGATGCATCGACCCGAAATCGGCGATACATCGCCGATAGATCGGCGATAGGCCCCCGACATTGAATCCGCACGCCCCTGGGCAGGTTGGGGCTATCGGGCCGCTACCCCCTGTCGGCGATCAGCGGGCAATCGGAGGACGATGCGCCCCCCCATGCTTTATTCCCCCCATATCGTTGCCCCCGACATTCACTCTGCGCTTCGCGCTCCGCGAAGCGCTGTGGCAGCAACTCCCCCCACCTATGGTTTTCCAGACTTGAGCCACAACGGTAACGGGACGGAAAACCACATTGCGGAATCTTGAAATCGAATCCTGGAGCATGGTTACATACGCAAGACTTTCTCGTAGATCCAAAACGCCCAAAGAAGGGAAAACGTCCCGGCTAGGGTCTACCGAGGCCTGTGCTCGATAGTCCGCACCTCTGCCGAGACACAGCTCAATTAGTGAAACGTCGCTCGTCGGCGGGCTCTCGGAACCCGATCATTGAAACCCCGGATCGTGGTCCTCACCGCCGGCCGGCCGGAGCGAGCGACTGAAAGACGCAGATGAATGGGTAATGGAGAAATGGAGGAAGGAACCAACCACACCACCACCACCACCTGGCTGGGCACCTGGTTCCTGGACAGTACTTCCCTTCTTGTTCGGGACTATTCCGACATAGCGGTTGTCCTCTAGCAGTTTCCTGGAAGAACAATGGTTTGGGATCGGTTCTTCAGGCCTGGGTCCTCTCGTCTTCTGTCCACCTCCAATCCCTCGTCAACTAATGGTAACCGCCCGCTAACCACTAGGTCAAATAACGCCACGTTGCACTTTGTCACGTCGGTTTTTGTCAGGGAGTCCACGGGCATGCGTCCGTGGGGTATCCAACGAACCTTACCGGATGCCTGTTCTACTGCTTCGCATACGATTGCCATGTCAATGGCCGCGCGTCTATATTTAGCGCTAGCGTTACCTTCTTTGATCATCGTGTCGTGTATACATTTGGCGTCTACTACATGGATCTGGCCCGCCCCCTGCCCATGGCTGGACGAGGCGCGCGGGCTGTGCGCGACACATGAACCGCATGGCCGCCCGCGCTGCCCGGGCCGCAGGAAGCGCACGATCCGCGCGGTAGTTGATCTTCCGCGCCGCCAGGCAGCCCTTGCGCGAACGCCGCAAGACTGGTAATCACTTCGGTAAGCCAAAAAAACGTCACGTCGTGCGCCCGCTCGGGGATCCGGCCCCCGTTGCCAAGCATTCGGGCGAGGGCCGCGCCGACCGAACCGACCAATCACCCAACCATGAAGCGCAGCGGCACCAGTTGAGACGCCCCCGCAACGCGGGCGCCAGGTTTTAAGGAGAGGGAGCGCATCTTGCAATTGCATTTTCTCACTCGACAACGACGGGGGTGAAGACCAATGCGACCAACCATTCCGACCACGCAGCCAGAAGTCTCGGCGCCGTCGCTTGCGAGCTCCTCGCAGCCTTGGTGCCAGAGCAGGAGGGCAATGCGTGCATCCAGCGATGTCGAATGGCAAGGCAGGGCCGGCGAGGAGGGGGAAAGTGAACGGGCGAACCGGGAAGAGGAGCAGCACAAATACCCCCACCCCTCGCAAGGCAAGGTGCAGCGCCAGGCCTCCCGCCCCACTCGGTCGCCGAAGCCTGCCTGGCTCGGACGCTTTCAAACTGGGCTCGGAACGCTGTCGGCGCCGCTGCGGGGGAGGCGGGGGGAAGGGAGAGAGGCGGCGCCATCCCACGCGCACCCGCCGAAAAAAGCTAGGGGGGACGGGGCGGAAAGGAAGGGCGCGAGGAGGGAGAAGGAGGGAACGCGCTGCAACGCGCCACTGCGCGGCTGCAGCACAATGCGAGCTGGGGCAACGACGAATGCGCCTGGACCGCAGCGCACGCCAACCAGCCGCAAACGAGGCCCGCCGAACGAAACGTTGTCAACTGCACCGCGCCCCGAAGCCCAAATGGCCAGCCGAATCTGCGCGGCGTCATAAAGGCGGAGGAACCAAAGAGAAGCTTGAGGGAAATGGAGGAAGTGAACAACGAGCGGGAGAGCGCCGGGGAGAGGGGTGAGGAAGAGACTCAAACGGGCATGGACTGTACAGGCCAACTGTCCGCGGAGGTAGAGCCTTTCAAGACCGAGATGCTGCACAGGCGACGGCAGGAAAAATGCTGCGACACTGGATATCACAGTGTATGCATCGGTAGGCTCCACCTCCTCCTCCTCCTCCTCCTGCTTGTCGTCGTCGTCCTCCTCCTCCGCCTCCTCCTCCTCCTCTTTCTTCTGATCCCCCTCATCCACGCTACTTTTCATTGACCAAGTAACGCGTCGGTCTGTTTTGTGTCTATTTGTCCTAGTGACGTAGGAAAGAAGAGCGGGTATGTAAGAAACGGGGTTGGCCGAGAGATCCTCGCAATATGAACGCGACAATGCCCGTGATGTACCCCCCAACGCCCCTCCCCCCGCTGTCCCCAGATGCCACGCTTCCTACAACGCGACGACCAACCAAACCAGAACAATTATGAACACAATCAAAGCATAGAAGCCAGAGTTCCGCTTGAGGCATCCCCACAAGCTGTGCACCTAGGGCAAAGTGTCCTACCCGCCATCACATCGCAATTATCACGCAACCCTGAAAAAAGACACGTTTACTTCTCAACAACTAGCGCATCGCGTGATATATCCCAACTTTCTGGGCACACACGCGCAAGTGTTCTGCCCCCTGGCGGCCCAAGTCGTATCTGCTATGTCGTCGCGGCGACTGCGCGGCCCTGAAAAGAGACGCGTCCATAATCTGGGCGCGAACGCACCGGTGATGCACCCCTTGGCGCCTCCCCCCTGCGGCGCCCAAAAGTGATGACTGCTACCCCGCAAGTGCCACGGCCAGAAAGCACATGTCTAACTTCCAAAAGCCACACATTCACAAGGGACGTTCCCGCAAATCTAGGCGCCAACGGGCAAGTGTCCGACCCTCTAACGCCATCCCTTCCTCTCTGGGGTGCCGAAGTATATCACTCCTGGCAGACTCTTGTGGAACCGATGCTACAAAAATTAACAACGACAACAACCGCCACGTCTTCAAAGGAAACCACCTCTTCAAGATTACAACAACGCATCGATCAAATCGGCTACCCGCATACCATCACATGTTCACAACGGTTGAAACTAAGAGACTTAACCGCAAGGTATATTTCAACAATCGTCGTCGTCGCGGTCGCCGTCGCTAGTCCTCAATCCCGCCTCTTGGGCCACCTTGGGGCGATCTGCGGGGCCTCTTGGGAAGTGTTGGACGCTGCCAAGACCAAAACACGAGTTTGCTAAACATATAAGGTTTCCTGAAAACATGGTACGATCTTCGCCTCTTGGGGCCGTCTTGGGTGCCCCCTTGGAGCCGTCTTGGGGCGCCTTGGGTCGTCCTGCGAGCTCTGGGAGGCCTCGAAGAGCTCGGAGAAGCCTCGCAAAGGTCTGACCCTGAGCTCGCAGAAGCTTGGCAGAAGCCTCTCAAAGCACGAAGACGCCTCGCAGAGTCCTCTCAGAATTCGTAGAAAACTCGCAGAGCTTGCCGAAGCCTCGCAAAGGCCTCTCCGCACTCGCAGAGTTCGCAGAAGCCCCGAAGAGGCATCACAAAGATCGAAGAAGTCTGGCAAAAGCCTCTCAAAGCTCGAAGAAGCCTCGCAGAGGATCCTCAGAGCTCGCGGAAGCCTCGCAGAAGCTCCTCAAAGCTCAAAGAAGCATCGCAAAGGCCTCCCAAAGCTCGCAGAAGCCTCGCAGGGGCCTCTCAAAACACGCAAAAGCCTTGCAGAGGCCTCCCAGAGCTCGCAGAAACCTCGCAAACAAAATGCAGATTCTCAAACCTCGCAGCCTCGCAAAGGCTCCTCAAAGCTCGAAGGAGCCTCGTTAAGGCCCCTTTCAGAGCTCGAAGAAGCTTCGCAGAGACCTCTCAGAGCTCGCAGAAGCCCCGCAGAAGCCTCGCAGAAGCCTCGCAAAACCCTCCCAGAGTATGCAGAAACCCCGTAGAGGCCTCCCAGAGCTCGCAGAAGCGTGGCAAAAGCTCTTCAAAGTCCGCAGAAGCCTCGCAGAGGCCCTTCAAAGCTCGAAGAAGCCTCGCAGAGGCCTCAGAGGCCTCCCAGATCTAGCAGCTAGCAGAAGCCTCGCGGAGCTCGCAGAAGCCTCGCAGAGGCCCCATCGGAGCTCGAAGGAGCCTCGCAGAGGCCCCTCAGTGTTTCTGGAATAAATACGGCATGTCTGAAGAAAAAGGATATACTTCTGAAGAGCAAGTACTTCTGAAGAGGAAACACGCACTGCTGAAGAAGATATACTTCTGAATAGGAAAGGGGCACTTCTGAAGGAGGAGGACGAACTTCTGAGAAAGAACGCAGAATTTCTGAAGCAGGAATATGTCCAAAGAACAAATGAATATTTCTGAAGAAGAAAGACGTACCTCTGAAAAGAAAAAACACTTGAAAATACAGTCGGGACCCTTCCCAATACGAAAGGCACTCTCGGGGTGACGGGGGGGTATGCACCAGACCCAGAAGTCGTCATTTTCAAAAATGTCAGATTCCGAAAACCCTGTACCCAAAAATGCTTACATCTCTTGGGGGGGCACTTTTACTTCCACCGCCGAACTTCCACCAGAGGACGCGGCCTCGTTTTGCTTCCGCCGACTTTCTGCCGACCTTCCGCCAGGAAGAGATGGCAACTCCTTTCGATCCTCGAATGCGAGGCCGTTGTTGGAACGCCACAACTAACATCTCTTATCGGAGGGGCCTTTTTCTCGCGGCTGGGCCACCCCGATCAGCGTCGGGAGCGCCCAGATAGATTTTCACCCTGGAACGGCTCTGAAGTGAAAAGCCATCTGGGACCCCCCCCCAGTTC